TACCTGACTTAGCTTTATGAAAGAAAACGTATTGGCAAAACTACGCATTTTTACATTTGTTAAAATTAAAAAGCTTGAGTAAAATAGTCTTTATTTTATGAAACTAGGTCATTTACTTATGAATTACTTATGAATTACTAGTAGTACTATTTAACATAATGGAATAACGATCATTACTTTCATAAACATTAGGCACAACAAAAATGTTATTTGCAAATTAATAATGTAGAATTGTAGAATAACGTCTACCGCAAAAAAAATATTTTAATCCACAGTCAGACTAGCTATAAATTTAACAAAATATCAGTTTTATCGGAATTAATTAATTTTTGAATCGAGTCACACGATATCATTCGATGACTTTGCGAATGCAGTACGATGATACGATTACTTTTACGTTGCGGCAATCACTAAAATTCGCTAAAATGACACTAATGACGTTTAAAAAGTGGCACGCTCGGCTTCATACAATTTTTGACACATGCTGCATCTATCCATATCTGTGGTTTCGTGTATGTAAAAATGTGTCAAATTTCGCGGAGAATACTTTAAAAAGCAATAAATACATTTTTAAATAGTAATGTTGTTTCACTTCCTTGATTCCCGAAATTTTCAGTGCCGCCCTCGTACTTATTCGAGAAACATATAAAGAAAGATGTTACCTATCACCAAACCGAAGCAGCCGCGACGTCTGAATACCATTAGCAAGTAGAATAACGTAGATATTGCATCCATCTTTCCTGGTTTCTCTTAAGGATTCCAATGTGTCGAAATTAGGAGAGAGCAGATCTTCGTATTCTTCTACGACGATCTAAAAATAAAACGTGCTTTTACATAAGATCCCATCCATACTTAATAGGTACAAAAGACACATTATTATGATGTAAAGCCTGGTCCGTGAGCACGTAGAATTTTGTCCAATGACCCCAAGCTACCCATCCTTATCGCTCGCGCGTAATTATGTTGCTGTCGCGCTCGCATACTCACTGCGGGCGCCCGTCGCACAGGCTTTAGGTAGCTTTACCTACGGGAACTCAAAATGGTAGTAAACAAGATGTGGGATTTAGTTCTGAATGTCCCGCATAAACGGGACATAGATTCCCGCATATTATGCTACACTTACCATAACATACGGCACAGCCGCAGTCCGCCTAAACAGGCTGCCTTCAAACACATTCAAGTAGACCACATCACAAATGATGGCTACGCAAGTGATGTCCTCTTGGCGAGACAGCCCGTTGAGCAGGTCGACGAGGATCAGCTCCAGATCCTTGCGCTCGTTCAGGCTTCTAAGGATGGGGGACAAGTCTGCAGCAGCGCTGGAATTGGTGAAGAATCACAGATTTGGATTAGAATCTGTGGGAATATTAATGTCACAATAATAGTGGGACAGCAGTACACAAGGTTTTATAGTGATACTAGCTTTTGCCCGCGGTTTCACCCGCGTGAAATTTATTATGTCACAGATCGTCATAAATTATAGCCTAATTATGTTAATCTGGGTTATAAACAGTAAAACTGTAAAGTTTCAACAAAATCCGTTCAGTAGTTTTTGCGTGAAAGAGTAAGAAAACATCCAGACATCCAAACATCCAGACATCATGACATCCAAACTTTCGCATTTACCTATAATATTAGAAGGATCATTGGTCAATTTCATTATGTGCGTGCGGACTGAGTGATCTTTCAAAAATTTCATGCAACCACCAATGGCAACCACAACCAAGTTATGAGAGGATTTAGGAAATAATTGTGAAAAGCAGTAAGCAGATCTTTCTTGCTGAAAGTTTTTTGACATATGGGTCAAAAGTCAAGACTGTAAGGACATCCTGTTGTTTTACAGTCCCTCGGCCGGTATAGGACTAGTAGGACGTTAATTTGTCTTAATTAATCTAAGGTGCTTTCTGAATATAATAATTTATTTACATAATGAGTCACTTACCTGGCAAAAAGAACGCTTAAAAATACCGCCTTGAACATCTTTGCTCGCCGCTTCTCAGGGTAAAAAAGGAATAAGCAAGTACTCTTTACCACAGCTGTTTGGCCGACTGATTGACACGCTCATGTAACATGCAAACCCAATCGGAGCTAAGCTTGTATTTTGAATGTACCCAAATTAGTTGAGTGAATATTTTATTAGGGCTTTGGCCAAGCACAAGCTTAAAATTGGGAACGTAATAGGATTCCTCAAAATATTTTTAGGAAAAATATCAGGTACAAAAACGTAACATGCTTGAATTTAAACTATAATTATGTAAGAGAAGATTGTGTGCTCAATATCCAAAAACTTCTTTTTGTATTAGGCGATAAAGAAAAAACTAAACTATGTAAAATAAAATATTTTATTACAAAAACCCCTGTATAAATATTGTACATTTGTAAAAATATATTTGTATTAAACAATAACAATTCAATATCACTATAAATATATCACTTAAAATGTTATTCTGATTTAAAAATACTCAGTAACAATAACCATGCACCATCATTATTATACAAACTGTAAGGGAAAAACGCAAACTTTTACAGTAATGTAGAAAAGTACTTCGTAATACTTTGCAGTTAATTGTTCATTACATTCTCTATATTATACATATACAAAAATATACAATGACGTTTTGATTTCTATTCACATTGTATCTTTCCAATAACTCATTTATGCTTACACATTATGTACTTTAATATAAAATTACTTTCCAATTTTTTAAAACATTCTAAAAGATTTACGAGACTAAATATTTGTTCTTATAATAAATATATGATTTATTTAAGTAATAAATTCAATATTAAGAATTTTGGTAATTCTAAAACGTCATACGTAAAACTCACAGTACTTATTACTAATTAACTAACAATTATAATATAATTGTTATATTCTTATATTACTGGCAATACATTAGGAATGTTTATTGTGATGACAAGGAACATTTTTAAACTTCAATTAAGAAAAGTAGGTTTGATTCGACCGATTTTAATATGAAAAATAATAGTAGGATTTTACGCCACGCCTATATGATTTTATCGAGGTGATTAATATCGAGTACGTCAGCAAATGTAGTACAAAATACACCCTGTATACATCGTGATTTATCTTAAAGAAATTTATTTATATTTCTACAAAGTACTCATATAACAGCCACGAGAGCAAAATGAAGTATACTATTATGCAACATTTTCTTTTCCATCGTAAGAATAGAAGGAACTCTGTTTTATTTTAAGACTGGCAATACTACGTCTCTTAAGGCGTGACGTCACATCTTAGTATCTCAGTAAAATGTCTAAACCGACAGCTGACAGGTTAATACCAGTTGGCTAGTATAAAAAGAGGACTTTACAGTTTGGAGGGAACGTAGGTGCGCCAGTGGATGACGTCACGCCACCAGGCGGGCCGGCTCATGGACTCAGGGTACGTCATCACGCTGCTCTGGATGTGCTTGTAGGCCTGGAACAAGCGGTTGTTATTATTTCATCGTCATCATCATCATTTCAGCCACAGGACGTCCAAATTCAAATTGTTTTATTGTGAAATCACAGGTAAATACATAAGTCGGGTCATACATTTTTTGTAATAGATGAGCTGTGTTCCGCCGCATATAAATGAAAGATACAGAATCCAATCCACTGCTGAACATAGGCCTCCCCCAATGACTTTCACATCGCACGGTTGGTAGCGGCCTGCATCCAGCGCCTTCCTGCTACCTTTATCAGGTCGCTGCATTTTCTGGTACGCGGCCTCCATTCCAGAACCTTGCTGCCCCATCGGCCGTCAGTTCTGCGTACTATGTGCCCTGCCCATGCCACTTCAGCTTGCTAATCCGTCGGGCTATGTCAGCGACTTTAGTAGGTTTACGGATCTCCTCATTTCTGATTCGATCTCGTGTTATTATTTAAAGTAATAAATTAAAGAATTAACTGTATCTATACTCTAGTGAGAACAACTCAGACCCAGAGACACCAGGTTAGATTCCCAGTGGGGGTAAAATCTTCTGCTCGGCTTAGTTTTAGGGTTTGTTCTAACTCCACCTGGTTAGCTACGGTGGTAGTGGTAGATGGTAAGATGTGATCAGTGATATTTAGTCTGTCGCTATAACGATTGTTCCGGCAGTTGGAGGTAAGATAGTCACTTCTTCTGTAGTTAATGATTCCAGGCGAAGCTCGCTTCACCTTCGGCCCGATCACTTACTATCAGGTCAGATGCGGGCCAAGAGCTACTTGGTTGCGAGTTAAAAAAAATGGATAGATGGAATGAGGGCTATCGCTTAATAGTTGGCACCGCTGTTGTACAGTAAGGTCTGTCTATCCCTGTCAGTGTCACTTGCTATAGTCTGGTCTGTGAGCATGTAGAATTTTGTCCATTGACCCCAAGCTAACTACGCGCGAGCGATAAGGATGGGTAGCTAGGGGTCATTGGACAAAATTCTACGTGCTCACGGACCGGGCTTTAGTGGCGAAGACAGTAGCGCCAACTGGCGAGCGCTGAAGCGGTAGGACTATCGCATTTACACTCACCAAGATGGCGCCACTGTAGAGTAGGGTCATGTCAATCGCCAGTGGTGCCAACGATAGCCTTCATTGCTTTAGATCTAAAATATCTCAATAACTATGGTCTGAAACTCACCTCCCCATCAGACTGTCCCAGCACAGACTTCAGACAGAAGTCGGGCGGCGCCAATGTATCGGCCAGCGCCACGGCCTCTGGGCAGATGGCAGCACACAGCTCCAGAATGCCTTCGCGGAGTAACACGCCTTGCGAGCCGGATAGGAAACCACCCTGAAAAATTGAAAATTTATAGAATGTGACCTGTAAGGAGCAATAACACAAAGTGCCATTTTCTGATCTCTAATTACACGGTACCGTGCAATGTGTGACCAATATATCTTCCTCTTTTACACTTTTATAAAGAGAAAAAGAGAGACAACGTAGTACTCATTCTTATCTATGGAGAAAGATACTGTCACGGTGAACTGATTCAGTTTCTGTAGTAGTAGAGCGGTGCGGAAAGTTGTTTTTAATACGTCAGCAAGACTTCAGTTGTGATTTAGATATTTATGACATGACTGCTCTGTAACGTCACACAAAATAAAAATACCACAGGAACAGACTCAGTTATGCGCTATAGTAATGTGTGATTTTGTGCAGTTGGCAGCACTTTTTTAGTAGTTGGTAGTATGTTGATTATGTATTATGTGATTTTGACTCTATCGACAGACAGTCATTATTATTACAAGAGGGCGCCAATTACAACTACAGAAGATGACACAATACACCTTTATATTCAATCATCAAATCACTATAAATAAGTACATAACTGTTCTACTTACAATGTACAACGTCGCCAGATGTTTCTCAAGGATGAAAGCGCCGTACAGAGAGACGAGTTTCAGCAGAACGTTCTTGCACTTGACGTCTTCGAACTCCAGCACTGTCTTGTAGAAGTGATTGAGGATGGCGTTCTGAAATTAAAGATTCACTTACTTAAATTCTTTGGATTGAAACTTCCTTATGTCCAGCTTATTTGAAGCTACAGCTATACTCGGCGCAAAGACTCGTGGCAGGCGGTGTAATAATGAGACAGTGCATAACACTTTTTCTATTGCACTCACACTATGGGTGACGTCACACAGAGGCAAGCATAGCGCTGTTTATATTACGTTATTTAATAAAATATTGGTGAGTGTGCTTCTCTGTCTTAAAAATTACTTATGGCACCGCCTGCCAGGAGTCTTAGCGTCGAGTATAGCTAAAGCCCGGTCTCTGAGCACATAGAATTTTGTCCAATGACCCCAAGCTACCCATCCTTATCGCTCGCGCGTAATTATATTGCTGTCGCGACTGTGCGACCGTCGCCCGCAGTGAGTGTGCGAGCGCAATAGCAACATAATTACGCGCGAGTGATAAGGATGGGTAGCTTGGGGTCATTTTGTCTAAAGTCTGGTCTGCGAGCACATCGAATTTTGACAAAATTCTACGTGCTCGCAGACCAGACTTTAGACAAAAACAAACCCCGTGACAAACGTGGTTGGATTTTTATTGGTCAACCTGTAGACCCTGGCTACTACACAGAAGTAGCAGCGGTGGGAACGAAATTTGGGAAATGGGAATAGTCTTGTAGCCATACCATTAATTAATCTGACTGAAAGGTATATTTAAGGTGTTTTTATCTACCCATCAGATCTAAAAATCTAGAACAACCAGTCAATTTACAAAGTTTTCTCTAGTCATAATCACCTTTTTTGTGGCAAAAATGACGTCACATTGGGTATATGACGTCACAGCTTCTTTTTGTGACCCTAGATCCCTACGACAAAGGCATTCTCTCTCATGACTCGTACCTCTCCATAAACGATGGACAGCGCCACCGCGTTGTATGACTGCGTCTCGTTCCTGGTCTGGAAGTCATCCTTGCCCGCCTTCTTGAGACGCTCGGTTTTCTCCGCAGTTTGCTTCAGAGTGAACGCCGTCAACCATTTGTACATGTACACTAGGTCTGTAAGAAATACATTATTGTCACAAACCAAGACTCTTCATCATCATCATCATCATCATTTCAGCCATAGGACGTCCACTGCTGAACATAGGCCTCCCCCAATGCTTTCCATGTTGATCGATTGGTAGCGGCCTGCGTCCAGCGCTTCCCTGCTACCTTTACGATGTCGTCGGTCCACCTTGTAGGTGGACGTCTCACGCTGCGTTTTCCGGTACGCGGCCTCCATTTCAGAACCTTTCTGCCCCATTGGCCGTCAGTTCTGCGTACTATGTGCCCTGCCTATTGCCATTTCAGCTTGCTAATCCGTCGGGCTATGTCAGCGACTTTGGTTCGTTTACGGATCTCCTCATTTCTGATTCGATCTCGCAAGGAAACACCAAGCATAGCCCTCTCCATAGCACGCTGTGCAACTTTGAGCTTCTTTATAAGGCCCATAGTGAGAGGCCACGTTTCCGAGCCATAAGTTGTCACTGGTAACACACATTGGTTGTACACCAATTGGTTGTAACCAAGACTCTTAAACGTTTGAACTTGAATCAAACCGCATGCGTGAGAAAATGTATCTTTACGAGATCTAATCTAACTAACTAATAAATGAGTTAATACTGGGACGTGTAAAAGTGCTTTTTTAAAGCCTATTTGCATAAATAAATGAGTTTTAATCATCATCATCATGACGGATTAGTAAGCAGAAGTAGCAGGACACATAGTGCGCAGAACTGACGGCCAATGGAGCAGCAAGATTCTGGAGTGGAGGCCGCATACCAGAAAACGCAGCGTGAGAGGTCCACCCATAAGGTAGAGCGACAACCTCATAAAGGTATAAAGCATGCAGGTCGCTTCCAACCGGGCAACATGGAAATCATTTAAGGATGCCTATGTTCAGCAGTGGACGTCCTGTGGCTGAAATGTTGATGATGACTCCTGCCAGCCCGTTTAAGGAACGATAGCGTCCCGTACGGGTATTAGACGGGGTTGAGAACTATTAACGGTAACTGTGCTGTAATACGGAATACTCACTGGCAGGGTCCACCATCTCCTTCGTACTGCTCCAGCGACACTTGTCCGCTAACACTTTATCAGCTCCGTTCAGGAACGTCAGTGTCCCGTACGGGTAATCCGCGGGGTTGATCCGACCCCGCGCCGCCCATACAGAAAGCAGCCAGCGGCTGGTCTGCTGCAGAAGTAAGCTGTTCTCGCCCTCGTAAGTGCAGTTCGCGTCGTTATCGTTGCGAAGGTCGCCGATGCCCGCAGCTGGGATCGAAGAAAATTAAATATTTACAAGAAAACAATTTCATATCATCTATGTAATTTACACGTAAACGAACTAAAGTCGCAGACATAGCCCGACGGATTAGCAAACTGAAGTGACAATGAGCAGGGCACATAGTACGCAGAACTGACGGCCGATGGGGCAGCAAGGTTCTGGAGTGGAGGCGGCGTACCGGAAAACGCAGCGTGGGACGTCCACCCACAAGGTGGACCGACGACATCATAAAGGTAGCAGGAAAGCGCTGGACGCAGGCCGCTACCAACTGAGCAACATGGAAATCATTTAAGGATGCCTATGTTCAGCAGTGGACGTCCTGTGGCTGAAATGTTGATGATGACTCCTGCCAGCCCGTTTAAGGAACGATAGCGTCCCGTACGCATTGGGGGAGGCCTATGTTCAGCAGTGGGTGACCTATGGCTGAGATGATGTAATTTACAATGCAGAAAAATCATCATCACCATCAGGACATTCAGTGCACCATCTCTTATTTACCAGAAACAAATGGAAGAGTGTAGTACATTATTTGATTGCTGCTACACTCCCCACTCTGGCCAGACGAGTTTAGGGAGGCCTGATGGCATATTTGTTCATTAGTCGCCTCTTACAACGTCCACGGGAATAATACAAGTTCTAAGGAAATGGAAGGCTATTTCTGCTCTGCCGGAACCACATAGTTATTATCTCACTGGGTGATATTTAACCGATTTCAATTCTTGGCCCGTCTATCATCTTGTTTCTGTGTTTCGTACTTCAGTGAAGTGATTGCAACAATCAACTCTTTGTCAGGGCTAGGCACTATCCTGTTTCTATCAAACGGCTCTTGTCAGTGCCAAAGTAGTTTCCAATATAGAAGTCGAAGTTTACCTTTCAAGTATCCGTGCCCGCCGCAGCACTCGCGACAGTTCTGGATTCCATCGCGCGCGGCCCACCCGAACACCGGCTTGACGGCCGACGATAGCGCGTGCATCTCCACGCCGCGGTTTGCCGCGTTGTCGTCTGCGCCTGAAAGCGGAAAGAGATTATTTTAACGCAATCACCAAACGCTAACCTCCCTACTTAGATATGAACAGTCTATCACTGATTGTATTTTTATTAAGTGTGTATTTGAAACACTTACCAGCATACCCGTTGATGACCATGGTGACATGCGCCTCGCTGAACCAGTTGCAGAATATACGCATCGCGTACGTGGATGCCAAGTATGGCAGAAGTCTTATTTGCTGAAATGCAAGTAACAATTGAAATAAACATTTATTTTCAACTGGTGAATATTTGCAATCCAGTAGAACAATTTTAAGTGTTTTTCAATAGGCAACACTTATGGAAACATTATTATTATTATTTTACATTAGACAATTTTTCTCGAGAGACTTCGACAGTAAGAGTAGGCGCACACCGTTGATTTTTTNAATAAATGGGTTAATACTGGGACGTGTAAAAGTGCTTTTTTAAAGCCTATTTGCATAAATAAATGAGTTTTAATCATCATCATCATGACGGATTAGTAAGAAGAAGTGGCAGGACACATAGTGCGCAGAACTGACGGCCAATGGAGCAGCAAGATTCTGGAGTGGAGGCCGCATACCAGAAAACGCAGCGTGAGAGGTCCACCCATAAGGTAGAGCGACAACCTCATAAAGGTATAAAGCATGCAGGTCGCTTCCAACCGGGCAACATGGAAATCATTTAAGGAGGCCTATGTTCAGCAGTGGATGTCCTGTGGCTGAAATGTTGATGATGACTCTGCCAGCCCGTTTAAGGAACGATAGCGTCCCGTACGGGTATTAGGCGGGGTTGAGAACTATTAACGGTCTAGTCTAGTTGCTGTAATACTAAAAGATACTCACTGGCAGGGTCCACCATTTCCTTCGTGGAGCTCCATCTGCATTTATCCGCTAACACCTTATCAGCTCCGTTCAGGAACGTCAGTGTCCCGTACGGGTAATCCGCGGGGTTGATGCGACCCCGCGCCGCCCAAACAGAAAGCAGCCAGCGGCTGGTCTGCTGCAGAAGTAAACTGTTCTCGCCCTCGTAAGTGCAGTTCGCGTCGTTATCGTTGCGAAGGTCGCCGATGCCCGCGGCTGGGGAAACAGTCAAATATTAGTTCATCAATAATACAATTTGGTACGGTGTATTTATGCTAGCAACAGTAGAAAGGTCTCTCTTATTGTTAGCCTAATTTTAAAACTTGAAAAGGTGTACTGCCTCTATTGGTAGTGGTCTAACTAAGCTAAGACTAGTTTGAGATAAGTTTAGTATCATACAAAAATCCCTACAAGTTTCTTGAATCTTCAATCAGGCAGTGTTCGAATAGACCCTATATCAATTTAAACTTTCTGAAAAGAAGAAAAGAAGTAGTCTGGAAGAGATCGTGTCTTCAGAGCAGCAGGTTACCTAATACTCAGTAAAACTGCTTAACAGACTTATTACCTTTCAAGTATCCGTGCCCGCCGCAGCACTCGCGGCAGTTCTGGATGCCATCGCGTGCGGCCCACCCGAACACCGGCTTCACCGCCGACGATAGCGCGTGCATCTCCACGCCGCGGTTGGCCGCGTTGTCGTCTGCGCCTGAAAGCGGAAAGAGATTATTTTAACGCAATCACCAAACGCTAACCTCTCTACTTACGAACAGTCTTTCACAAGTTTTTTTTAAGTGTGTATTTGAAACACTCACCAGCATACCCGTTGATGACCATGGTGACATGCGCCTCGCTGAACCAGTTGCAGAATATACGCATCGCGTACGTGGATGCCAAGTATGGCAGAAGTCTTATTTGCTGAAATGCAAGTAACAATTGAAATAAACATTTATTTTCAACTGGTGAATATTTGCAATCCAGTAGAACAATGTTAAGTGTTTTTCAATAGGCAACACTTATGGAAACGGGTTGCCAGAAACAAAAAAAACGAGGTGTGCTAACTAACAATACACATTACACAATTTTTCTCGAGAGACCTCGACAGTAAGAGTAGGCGCACACCGTTGATTTTTCGTCGGCCGATAGTTTAGTCGGGCTGTTGATCAGTATGGGCATGTATGGAAGTGCGCACACTACGCAGATTCGATTTGGCCGATTCTTCATACAATTTGAAATCGGGCACAACTATCGGCCAACTAAAAATCAACGGTGTGCGCCTACTCTAAATGTAAATACTTAACTGAACTGTTATATTCGACGGTAGTTGGCTGTTGAAAAGTAGCTCTATATCTCACCTGTTGCTGATACTCCAACACCGGCATTTCTTCGGAGCTGTCATCAGGACCGAACTGTCTTCGAACAGCAGAGTATCTGGTGGCAATCACTATTGCCTTCTGAAGGTATGCGGTGGATATCGTCGTGATGTGCACTCGCCCACCTATAAAAGTACAACATCAAGTTCATTAACTTGTACTTAGGAAGTCGAACCTTAATTTCGAACTCCTCCTATGTTCTTCTGATTAATTTAGTTGCGGGTCCAATGACAGTTTAACTTTCCCCCGGGACAAACTTGACCTTCATTGGTTGGGTTTTTGTGGCGGTCAAGCTGTAGATCCTGGCTACACAGGAGTTGCAGTGGTGGGAACGAGAGGTGGGAAAAAATAACTTGTACTTGACACCACCAATAAACTTATACACCTGTTGTATGATCATTGTCGAGTCATTTAGTACATTGCAAGAGCACAAGTCTCTTTTATTTGATAGAGACAAATGGAGAATTTGGCCTACACTCTCCATACTGGCCAAACGGCTTGGGGAGGCCTAATGTCGTATATTACCAACACAATTGACTAACTCATCAATGATTTCGAAGCAACAAGCTAATTGAAATATAGGTCNCACACACACACACACACACACACACACTCACACAAGCGCGATCTCAAACATTTCTTAGAGTGCTATATTTTGTAATTCGTAAGTTTTTATCTCCAATTTTGTAGACTTTTTTGCGTGTTTCTAACATTGTATGTACAAACGGATCCTCCGAGAGATGAGAGTACTGGTCTCTGTAACACAGGCTCCTCGCCTAGCTCAGACACCAGTCTCTCACAATCTATTATATACATGATGTACTATTTTTATTGTAATACTTTTATGTCAGTTAGATTGTGGAGAAAAATAAAGATTTTTATTATTTATTTTTTTTTATTATTTAATGTCATCCCTCTCGTGTCGCTCCCATACCTCAGGCACTAACTGAGTTAGGCGCTAGATCTATAGTTACAAATCTTACCTGACAGAATACCCATGGAAGCCCCAAACCTCTTGTTGGGGTCCTTGAAGGGCGTCATGTAGTTCCCATCGTCGTCCACGCCGCCCAGCTTGTCCAACGCCGCGTCTTTGGACACGTGGTAGTTGTCGAACATCACAAACCTACAATTACATTACATCTATACTAATATTATAAATGCGAAAGCAACTCTGTCTATCTGTCTGTCTTTCACGCCTAAACCACTGAACCGATATTGATGAAATTTGGCATAGAGATAGTTTGAGTTCCGGGAAAGGACATAGGATAATTTTTATTCTGGTTTTTGAAACAGGGACGCGCACGATAGTTTTTCTGTGACAGACTAAATTCCACGCGGGCGAAGCCGCGGGCGGAAAGCTAGTTATGTATAAAAGCGAAAGGTCACCGACTGACTCACTCATCAGGAAATCTCAGAAACTACAAGTGCTAGGAGTCTCAAATTTTGCATGAGGGTTATGGGACTCAATAAGACGGGATTTTGCACAATTCAACTCCCAATGGGGTAAAACGGGGTCCACGCGCACGAAGTCGCGGGCGGCCGCTAGTTCCTACAAATAATACAAAATTAGCATAATTTTGCATGTTAAATAATTTGGAAATGTCATTTAGTATTCAAATGTCTTATTTAGAGTTCATCTGTGTCAATTACCTTACTTATTAGCATTTTAAATGAGTATCGCAAGCAAGATGCATTATTAGACAGTTGACATGAAATACAGAATAATAGGTTTTCTGGTCTTTAAAGGAAATATTAATGTAGTGGTCCAAAATCCAATATTTGAACAGAGCATAGATAGATATAAATTATGGCGCATCCTTATAAACTGGCTACCATAAATAATATGGCGTCTTTGGCCGTTCATGATGGAGCAAGTTTGCACAAAGCTAAATCTAGTCCAAGACTCTTATTAACAGTTATCCTTCACTGATTGGGTTTTTATTGGCGGTCAAGCTGTAGATCCTGGCTACACAGGAGTTGCAGCGGTGGGAACGAGAGGTGGGAATTTCATTTTTAAGTTATCTCTCACCCATTGTCAATCCCATTAAGCCCGATCTTCTCTCCGATGTCCCCAACAGTCACTCCAGGATAAGGCTTCAAGGTCTTCGGGTCCCTGATCGGCACCACAAACATGTGGAGGCCGTGGTTCTTTCCCTTGGAGTATAACATCGCGTAGAGAATCGCGTGGGTCGCGCATTTGCCTGTAAAAATATTGTCATTCGTCTGTCATTATCTCTTTTCATATTTGTTGCTACATAATGGCACAGTTACACTGCGCAAACTTAATCGGACACAAGCATGAACATGCGCAAGGAAGTATGAGCGATGCATGGCAAAACGAAATGAAGTGCATGTTTACACTATCTGATTTTATCAAAGAATCAAATTCACGCATAGTGTACTAGTTACGTTTATATGCAAAAAAACAGGTAATTTAAGCATATCTACATTTCTTAAATAAACAGAAAAACCCAGAACAATACAAACAGACAATTTGTTCATGCACAGAAATAATATTTTGTGCAGGGATCAAACTCTCGACCTCTAACTTAAAACTTAGCAGTCTAGTATAAATTAAAATCAAGTAAGTTTACTATTTACAAGTAGTATGTATGTATACCTAATTCTTTTTGGCTTTTATGCCGCATATTTATGGGCTACCTTTTTTTATTTACTGTATTTTGACGTTCATAACTGCCACTAGTGGTCTAAATGAGGGTTTTCGCGATTGAAAAATCCGCCAGATGGCGGGACGTGGATGTGGGGTCTGACTGCTGCGTGATTGGTGGATTTTGACATATCTGTCAATGTCATGTCAAAAATAACCAATCATGCAGCATTTGGACCTCGCGTCTACGTATTGCCATCTGGCGGGTTTTTCAATCGCGAAAAACCCTCATTGAATGAAATCATTTTGATTCTGATTTTGATTATGTACTTACTTGCATCGTTTTTTAAACAGTACCTATACTCGTAGTAGCATGATAATTATTTTTAACAAATTAATTACCAAACTGGCAAAGTCATGTTATGTTAACAATGACAGATGGAATTTTAATTCTTGTGATTTGCATAAATTTACCATAATTCCAGTTTGGATATGCCTAAATGAATATTGTAAAAGTACCTAACCCAAAGCCAGGGCCACCATAACTCTGTAAAGGCCATATAACTCTTCCGTCACTTCAGCTTGTAGATTTTGAGTGAACTTCACGATGAGTTCACTAAAATCATGTGGAAACGACTTAGAGCAAAAAACCCACTGTAAGTCAGGCACAAAATAGACGGAGTCATTTGTTATTATTACATTCAGCAGGTTCTAAACAACTTTTCAAGAAGTGTGATTATTCACACACACATGTCAATACCTCTCACATGCCATAGCATCAGGCAAAGTAGAAAAAATATTCCTTGATAAGATTAAATAAATACCGATTGAGTGATTAGTAGGTGTGCGTACACCTACACCAAAACAAACGTATAAATAGTATTTTATCCCTTTATACATATAGCAAAATTAAGTTATTAATTAAATAAATAGTCACTAATAATGAAATCAAAGCAATGTAAATGAAACTAAGCCTTGTGGGTCAATGACTTAGGCGTACGCATAATGCGCGCACGCATTTATCTGTTGCCCTGAGTTCAAATGTCGCGGCTTTTGTTGAACTAGTCTACTATTATTAATTAGCTAACCTAATTGTATGTAGTAAGTATATAACCAGTTTGTGTAAAAAATATTATCTTAATATAAACTTTAATTTTACCCCCAATATCGCTTATCTTACCCTGAGTGTTCTTTAACTATTTTGATATCATGGAGATAAAATTATTAGGTATAAATATTTAGTATGCTTATAATATTATGATAAAACTTTGTAATACCATGATAACAATAATAATAAGTGATATTTTTATGGCAATAATTTCATAGAAAAACATATTTGCTAAATTGCTTGTGTATCTAGTTAGAATTCTACTAATACCTCAGACAAACAATGACTCAGCAAAATAATGAAAAAGTTTCTTATTTGGAAGTAAAAGCTTTATCTGGATTTTCTATTTAATTAATTAACTATCAAATTTTATAATATCATAAAATTATAAGTCTGCATTTTTCTTCTTATGGGAATGATTATTTGAATATTTCTTTATTATAAACAAATTTGACTTACCTAAACAACCAACCCAGAACTTTGCTGCTTCGAAGTCTGGTGTGTGGATCACAAACTGCTTTTTCTCCGGCACATAAGTGGCTGTAGTCCTCATCCCTTTAGCGTTAGACCCATGAGCCACCTCTGTCAACGCAAAGCATCCACCAATCTCACCGGACTCCAGATCGTCTAGGATTTGCGAGTGAACTGGTCTGCCGTTTCCACGGATAACGTTGGAGCACATACGGAAAGTCAATGACAGTTTTACGGTCATCGAGCTGTCATACATGAACATAGCCTCAGTTTCAGCTTCGTAGCATTGTGGGTTCATTACCAACTGAAAATTTATTTGAAATTGTAATTAAAAACAAAATTCAATCACCTCCATCATTACTTCTGAATTTTTTATACTTGTGTGTTTGGGACATCTCAAAATTATGTCAAAAACATTGTTTACTCACTTTATCGATTGGCAGGAACGCCTCATTTTGGACAGAGTACATGCGTTTGATAGCAATGTGCCTCTCTTCATCGAGTGAAACAGATTTGTCTGCATGTTTGAAAACTGGGGTCTCTTCAAAAAACTTCCATATTCTATGCTACAAAACATTTTAAAGATAATTGAGAGAAATTAAAATAAATGTCACACTGTGTAAAAATTTTAACTGGTCCAACTCAATGTTGTAGGGTTTTGAAAATAAAAACAAATACCTATTTCGAAACTTATTTGGTTGGATGTTAATTTCACAACCAATGGTGAGATACCAAAATTATAATTTTAAAATAACAAAAGGTTTAAAATCAAACTGAACTTACCTTTAAATCAATGGATTCTAGGTCATCATACACTAACTTCGTACGACGCCAATCAAAAGAGGCCTTTTTTCTGTAGTCATCTAGCTTCCCCGTGGGTAAATCGGGGAAATACTGCTTCAGCTGCTCATCCGATACATACTCTCTCTTTTTTGGTTCCATTTTGTCGATTTATGTATGAAAAAACAATTACACTCCACTGGCACTGCCCAGTTTGTGAGGAGCTAAAAAGTTTATGCAAAGTTATTCATTATTCACTAAGAAATATTGTATGTATTATTATCACAATTACGATAGATAGATACCAGATAAAGCAAGTTAAGTAATAGTAGATAAACCTAAGCCTTTACACATATTCATGATCTATTTACAAGTGATAAAGTTTGTACCTTGGAACTTTGCTATCTACAAGAACTTAGGACGTAATTATGTCATGCACTTTTATTGTTACTGTAGACGTAGGAAAAATACATTCACAGTAAAAGTTATGTTCAATTTAATTCAATTACGATTCAGTCTACTAAATTTTTAATTCATATTCTTCAAAACAGTTCAAAAATACTACATTTGCATTTTTAAGAAAACTGTTGGCTGAGCTGAGTGAGAGAGAGAGACGAATCGAAATTCGAATATATAATACACTCTGACTGACGTCTGTCACTGTCAAATAGTGAAGCAATAAGTTTATCCCAACTTATCGGTAGTTTTAGATCTCAATAAAATATTATCCCTTCCACGCGGCCACGTAATAAATAATTATAACACATTTGGCACAATGCTTTTTTTCTACATGGTTTTCGATAAACACCTACTGTATTTCTTTCAATGGAGTAAATATTAATGCAAACATTTGTAAATTAATTACCCCGATTCTATTAACTACATAAAATTAAATATTCTATGACACAATGAAGAAAAATATTTTCAACATTAAACAAAATTGTTGAATGCTGACAATATGCTTTTGTTGGTTGTGTAGGGAAAACATGCCTCTAGCGCGTGTTTTACCCCGCTATTATGATAGCATTGAATTTTTGTTTGTGAGTTTTCTTTAAATAATACGCATCGCCATCATTTACAATTAAAAAAACAAAAAACCTAACCCTCCTTCTTGCGCCGTCGGGTAATAATATCGATAGAAATAATGTGCGTACATCCTTATATTGTATGAGTTTGAGTTTTGTTTTATTGCTCTGTTCATTTTCACGTAATTCTCAAATTGAATATTTTTTTTTATAAAATAGAAAACGTATGCTAATTTATTAATAATTCGGTTGTTTATTATAGATATTTTGAGATAATATTTGTAATAAATTACTTGATCTTACTGTTGAATAAAATTCGGAACAATTATCAACGTGACACTGACAGTTGAAAAACCGGTTCCAATTTTGACATTTATTATTTACCAACAAACAAATATTTCACAATTTTCCTAAATTGTGAATTATTTATGATATTTAGTATCATAAGTTTTGTTGTTGCCTTTTCATAGCGTTGATTCTATCCAAAAATGACTAACGGTAAGTTTCTTTTCATTGTTTTTTGCGCTTTACCAAGTTGTTGAGGTTAGTAAAACTTAGTAACTTACCAATTTACCACACTCGCTTACTTTGAAACACTAGTAAACTAAAGAGACTATATTAAATAATATTTATTTAGTCCTTGGACATTTTACAATGCGCTTCTAGTGCTAAACTAAGCAGAGCTTGTACTATGGGAACTAGATAACAGATATAAACATACTTAAAAACTTTTTTCACACAAATAATATAGATATTATAATAAAATTTTAATTTGTTTGACAAAAAAATATTTTTTTAAATTAGGCCACTATTTTATAAAATCTCTCAGTTCTGCTGCATCTATCAGAAAGTATAAAAATAATTAAGTTAATTAAGTACATGCATTATCATTTTTGTAAGTCACGAGTGTCATTTTTGTAAGTTATTTTTGTGAACCGTACATATAAATAAATAATAAATAAATAAATATCTTTGGACAATCTCACACAGCGCCATCTAGCCCCAAAGTAAGCAATTAATATGCTTGTGTTATGGGTGCTAGCTTAACGGATATACTACTTATATATATTTTTTTAAATACATACATATTATACATAGTAACACCCAGACCCGTCACAGAAATTAAAATTCATCATTTCAATTTCTGCCCGGTCGGGAGTCGAACCCGGGACCTCTCGGCATAGTAGTCCCTTCTGAACCACTACACCAAATGGCCGGCAATGTAACCTTGTTGGTGATTAAATAAATAAATAAATCATTCTTCTTAAACTTTTCCACGCAAAGGAATGATACTTGTACTCAACATATTAATTAATAGCAAATTCATACTTTGCTGTATAATGAAAATATGTAGGGATTGTAGGTTGATATAAATCTTACTTTTGAAACCATCAATAAAAAAGCAATTTGATGTATTTTGTATGATACGTCTCTAAAATTTGCCAAATGTCTTACCCTATTTTAAAGATCAAAATGGCAAACGGTTATAATATCAAAGATAAGTTGGTACATGGTATTGCTATCAGTGACAATATTTTGCTCTAACTAATGCAGCTTTCTTTACTTTTTCAACCGACTTCAAAAAAGGNAAAATGTATTATGTAGAATAGGTAGAATCGCTTTGCCATTGACAGATACATCTGATGACAGAGCTAACATTATTTCTACTTTTGACCACCATGAGCGCTGCGATAGATTATGTCCCCCCCACCTAGTACTTCGCACCCAGCGAATAGGATTTATTTACATTAATTAATTAATATATTGGCCAAAGCTGTTATTGGCATTCATACACACTAAACTTCTTTAAGTAAGATTTTCATATAATTACTTTGTATGTAATGTTGTTGGTATGCCTCATTAGATAAATAAATAAATAAATTTTAATAATAATAATAATAATAAAATGTTTTATTTGACAAAAAGGGCGACATCACATTAAAATTTACACAAATTACAAAAAGAAAAACATTGTGCCCTGCTGTCAAATAGGGGCCCGCTCAGCATTAATCGGGGCACGCCGTGGGAATGCCTCGACACTGATTTTCAGCGGGTCCCTTGACGTTGCTGCGCCCAACCGCCGAAGGAGAAGCACTCCGTAAAGTGCCTGTCCGTCGGCGGGAACACGCAAATAGGAGGGCAGCAAAGGGGGCATAGCACAGTTTNCAAGCAGTTATCAATTTATCAATCCATACAGGCTTGGTAGTATCATTAAAATATCAGATGCAATGTCATCATTGCCACCATTATTTGAACTTTATTCACTCCTCATATCGTTGAAAAGCAATGAATTTCTTTAACATGCTTTACGTATGAAGCCAATTTGAGAGTGGAGGCGGACGCGGGTGCTAGCGCGGGCGCATGTAGATCAAAAAGTACGTACGCCAGAGCCCCGATTACGGTAACTTTTAACGTCTACAATCCAGACGCGCTTCATCGATTCTGCGATACGATTGGTCAAAACAGCTGACGTACGCTGTTGAATGTTCACAATGCAACGAGTTTCACGGGCGCGACGGTGGCGCGGGCGATTCTAACGGCTCGCTTTGCCCGTGTCGTACACCACTGTGCACTGCTTTAACCACTATACAGGGTATCTTGTAATGCCACCTGGAGGGAATGTTTTCTTTGAGTAAAATTTTCTATATACAGTATTAATACTTTCCCTCCAGGTGGCATTAAAAAATTCCACCCTGTATAGCATTGGTTCTAAACCATTTCGATTCATCCGCCGAAGCTGAACACGCAGACGCGAGACGCCAAGACCCAATCGCACGCGTCCACCCCCGCACCCGTAAATGCAGTTTGATTGAATTGGAGAGGATAAATGATTTTATACATAGAACTTAGGCTTTGGCACATAATTAACAATATTTTAGATCAAATGGTAAGGTCAGAAAGTTGTAAGTAGAGCTTGGCTTGCTAATTAAATAAACGACTGAAGTTAGTTAAAAACTATTGGATTTTATTAGTAATTAAATTCTCGTAAATCACAAATTGTGGAAAACCTTAGAGGAGGCCTTTGTCCAGCAGTGGACGTCATTTGGCTGAAACGAACGAACGAAATCACAAATAAATATGACAACGTTTTCGATCTCGATAACGATGTAACGAGTAAAGACTGCTACATGTTATACTTAATTACTTAACACACCAACAAAGCCCACGCAAGAAAAGTGCCGTCCAAAGGCTAGTGCAGTATAAAAATCGCATTGTCCCTAATGAAACTCGTGACGCTTATTTATTTTATCCCCAGCCATCGGATTGCAGAACAAATACGTTTTTAGAATCCAATCAGGGGATGGGGCCTGCAATATGCACGTTTTGCGCCGGCCATTAAAGCTCTCTGGGTAATAGGTTCTCTGCGGCCTCACTTAATAACCCCGTCTCTCATTGGCGGAATTAAACTGTTTCGATCTGTTTTGCTTTTATAAGATGTCCACTTGGACTTGGTAATTCTCTCTGTTGTGTTGTTTTGTTATGAGCCTAAGTACGACTCCATATAGTCTATCGCACGGTCGCTCTACACTTACCTAACACAGGTGTGTTTTCGAAATTTTTCGGGGCTGTACCCATACATGTACAGATACTTATCTGTTATGGCCTTATGGCATAATATTGATCTCGTAACTAAACCATTTGATGATAAGTACAGCCTCAAAAATTTCGTATCATGTTCCATTACTAAATTAATAAACACTGGCTGTTAAACTTGCACAAAGCTATAATGAAAGAAACCCAACTAAGATGCTTCATAAGTTTGATTTTTCTTGGACAAACTTTTTCATCCATACTTTTTTAAAAGAACAATATTATGATAGTTCTTATTCTTAAAAAACTTAAGAGCGTTTACGTCTAGCGTGGCATGTCAAGTTTAGGTATTTTCGATGCTATTTTTATTCACACTAAAATAATTGTGACTGTGTGCGTGTTTTCACGCTCTATAGTCAAACCAAAATACTTTGATCCACCATCGTAAAAGTGTGCCAGGCTGTCAAGTGACAGCTCAAGGAAACTATAAAGTCTTCAAATCTTCCAACACCGACTCCATAATTATAAATCATGGTATACATTAGTCCTAATCAATAATAAATACGTAAATTCTTTATCAAATAGTAAATTGTCAAAGGTTTTTTACTATTTTGAGAATATTTACATACAGCCTATGTTCAGCAGAAAAAAAATTGAATTTTAATGGTGAGAGATTTTTTCAAATCGGTTCTATTCAAAATAAACTTTTCCTGTTAACTATTCTTTTTTTATCCGGAAAATGCATAACATTTCATACCCACCAGCTGCGGGGGCAGCTAGTGGGTTATGTGGGGTTCTTCCTACCAGAAAAGGTGGGTAGCCCCTACACCCACTAATAACCTGACTGTTTCTGCCATGATCCATATGAGTGATATGAGGGAACGCGGGACATCGCCGTTNGTTTATTACTTAATATCTTCGTAAGTAATGGTCCGATTTGGATAATTCAAAAAGATCTTTCTTATGTCTTAAAGATTAACGTAGATGCCAGTTTTATTGAATTTTCTACAACAGTACTGATCCTCATTATAAAGGAATCTCAATAAAATATTATCCCTTCCACGCAGCCACGTAA